TCATAATTCTGTGATGCTATTACCTGCTTAACTTTGCTAACTTTTATATTGTAGTGCACAGTGATCTGTGTAATACAAATCCCTTTTGTGAATGTTCTTCGATATTCATGCTATTATATTCAGAATCTATATTTTTATTTCTTAATTTCTCTGAAAGTTTATTGGCTTCAAACGTACATGTGCCATGTATAGGATTATGTTGTTTTTCAGGGTGTTTTCTGTCATCTAGCCCTTTAAAACTTCAACTTTAAAGTCCGTGAACATTTCAATTAGTTAAAATCATTGCACAATGAAATGTGGAACTTAATGCACCTTTGTTAATGCATTGATTAATAATATATCTAAAGCACGAACCTATGCTTTGCTAATGCAGTTTTATGTTGCTATAGTAGTATTACCTCAATGCATTTCCAAAATATACAATGCATGCAATGCTTTAAAACATATTCTTTCCCACATATTTTACTCAGAATAAAACACTGTAAAACCCCACATCCCTTTGTAGACTCTCCTGATATCAGATCATAGAGTATTAGGCCTTGTTAAAAATCAGTAGGCCAGATGTTTTTGTCTGTAAATGTGGAAGCATTAAAGTCAAGTTCAACTTTCACAAGAAAGCTGATATGCAAACACTTCACTAGCTCTCAAAATGCCCATAAACCTCATTCTGTTTAATCCTGTCAGCCATAGATTCCACTACCCACAATCCAATGGGAGTCTGTGGTTTAAAACATCAGATACTGGCCACATAACACTACATCTGACTAAGCTTGAAGAAACTTTTAAGTTGAGTGCCCAGAAATATAATCTACAGTAGTATACTTTTCATAGCTGCACCATTTGTTGTCTTAAAAGTATAAAAGCAGGAGGTTACTGAACTCATTGAAGCTATTATACATTTGGAATTTAGGTACATTTTTAACTGGAGACTATTCACAATCGGTATTTATTCAAATTGGATTAAATTCCACTTTTGGAGGCATACAGTTTTATCGCTTTATTCCAAATACATTTTATTTCTTGATCTAGAACTGCAGTTGCTTGAATAATATTTTTCTGTCCTCAGTCATCTGCATGTATTATGTATATGTTGATTTTGTGTGCTTAAAGGATGCATTTTATTTATTTTGTGATGCCTACAGTTTTTTTGTTGTGAGAAATTTGCTCAACACATATGACAAGTTACAAAGAAACAGTTTGTATCGAATTCATATACTTATTTT